CCTCCGTGCCAGCTACTCTATGCGGGGGCTTTGTGGGGGGAAACAAATCGGCCCCAGGGGTGGGCAAAAGGTGGACGATCCCTGTAGCTCCGCCGGTCTCGGCTCCGCTCAGTCGCCCGGGGAGTTCGTTTGCAAACGAAAAATCCCCTAGGAACGTCGGGGACCCGGGCACCGCGCTGCCAGCCCGCCCGGGTAGGGCTGCTTCCCGCATCCCGCTTCTAGTCGGGTTCCTGGGGCAGCGGGTTTCGTCCCTGGTCTGCCCCGCGCAGGTCCCGTCCCCACACCGAAGCCCTCCGAAGGAACTGCGGCTTCTCCGCCTCTCTCTGCCGGGGAAAGGCCGGGGCTTCGCGGGGCCGGTGCGCTCCAGCCGAGCCGGGCCGGGCGCGCTGGCCTTGGCCCTGGCTCCCAGGCCAGATGCGGGCACTCGGGTCACATTTATTTTTGGTGCAGCGAAGTTTTTTCCCCGCAGGGAGGTGGTTGCGAGGGGAGGAAGGATTGGGCAACAGCTATACAACGACCTCCAGAAATGGGCTCGGTGGGGGAGCTTCTGTCCGGCCCCACAGTGCCCCCCCGTCCTCCAGCGCCCCCTCTCCATCACAGATGGGAGACGGCGGCCCCCATCTCGGGGTGGTTGTTTTCCAAAGGGAGCAACGCGGAGCAGCGCCCGGCGGCGGCGGGGTCAAGGGGTACCTGTAGATACATTTTACAGCAGTTTCGGTAGAGAAGACTAGGACAGGGACCCACTGGGCACTCTCTGCCTCTCGGCACCCGGAGCCCAAAACTTGGGTGGGAGTTGCTTAAAGACAAAAATAACTGTTATTTCCTAGGTTCCCGGCTCTCCCTCCCGGCTTTTGCGAGATGCTGTGCCAGGACTAGCTGTCACCTCGAGGGCACAGAGTTTTGCTCCTCTCCACGCTGCTAACAGGGAGCAGTAACGTGTTTAGACCACTTAAACTAGGCAGACATAGCTGGGAGCCATGCACGGCTCAGCTATGCCGGGAAAGGAGGTGTCATTTGTACGCAGTTACTTTGGTGATCAACACTTGAATGATATATGCCGCCTGCTTTAATTATATTCCTGTGACATTTTCCTGGACAGGAGCGGGCCGCGCTCAGCCAGAGCCGGGCAGCCCCGGGAGTGCCCTGCTGGCCGCCGGGCCTGGGACTGTTCCGGGGAGGGCATGCACGCCGACCCCCCGAAATACGGCTCTGAGGACGGCGAGGGGAGACGCCTCCAAAGATGCTATCCATAGCCACAGATTTATTTTTTTTGTTGTTTGCCCACTCACAAACAGTTTCGGATTCAGCGGCAGTTTTCTGCTCCATGGAGGAGGAAGGGCCGCAGCTTTACTGGCTTTTCTCCCACAGAAGAAGGCAGGGACCAGGAGGGACGCTTCCCCGACGGTTTCAGGGGACTCCGTCATCCATCCCCGGGTACACCCAAGGGCCACTGTTCCTTCCAGCCCTGCTCGCCTCCCTGCCTCTCGGCCGGGGACCCCACTCAAACTTCTCGTACCTGCACCAGGAATAGATCAGTGACAGGTCCCACTCAGAGCGGTTGAAGCAGGCAGAAGTGGGGAGATTGGAGCGCATCGGATGAGGGTGCTTTTCCCCAAACGACTTCAAAGCTGGGACGCACGACTACCAGCTGCCTTCCGGCGGGCCGGGCAGAAGAACCCGGCAGGATGCGAAGCTCCGTGGTGGTGGCTGGAGCAGGCCCCCGGCTGTCCTCTGTGCCCCCTTGCTCCCCTCGGCCCTCTGAGGACGGGGAGGTGCAATGGGACATGCTGGAGAGGGGGGGGGTACTGAGGGTCTCTAATTCGGGGTTGAGTGCCAAGAGGGCTGCCGAAAAGAAAATTAAAATAATTAAATTCCAAGGTGTGAGAGGGGGGATGCTGAGCTCTCCCGCTAAGCCAGGGTGGGGGCAGCCCAGCTTACCCCTCCTCTGACTTTCGGCCACCCCGGAGCGCAGAGAGCGAGTCGTTTGCAAGGAGCGAGATGCAGTGGTTGCAAAGGCAAAGTGAGCGCAGGGAAAACGAACCCAAATCCGCCAAAGGCGCCACCGGGCAGCCGAGAGCACAGAGGAGAGGGGAGTCGGTCGGAGGCCGTCGGGACGGTCACTGAGCGCCGTGGGGCTCGGGGGAAGGAGGGCCGGGACCTGCTCCCTTTCCTCTCAACCACCCCTTTTCTCAGTGAGGTGCTGTCCGGGGGGGACGCTGGGTACAAGGGCAAGCGTCAGGCCTGGAGCCATCGGGCTGAGCTCATGCAAGGCATGAACCCGGCTATCCCCTGACAGGCAGCGGCCGAGGCAAACGAAGAGGAGTCCTTCTGTGCCGGAGTCTGTACTGAGGCTGCTGTCCGCCTTCGGCTGGGCTCTGCCCCTATTAGGGAGCCAAAAAATAAAAACAAAAACAGGGGGCATTTAGAGCCCCGTCCTGCCGCGTAGGCAAAAAGGGGAGATGCGGGCTGGAGGGACAACAGGGGATTGAAAACGATTTTCAGGGTTTCGCTGTGTCTGGCGCACTTTTGCCCGTGCCCTGAGTTGAACGGGCTGCACTCGAGATGGGGGCGCAAGTTGTGCCCCGGGTCTGCGCTCCGCGGGGAAGGCTGCAGCCGCTAACTGGCAGGGCCTCGGAGCATCCCATACGCCGTCCAGCCCACCCAAACTCGCATCCAGCAATGAGACTCTTTATCTTTCGGTTTCCCCCCTTTTTTTATTTTTTAAAGTCTTATTTCTGTAGTTACAACACCAGCATTCCCGTCCAAGTTCTCAATAAAATCCGAATCCTGACATAAAACACCACGTTAGAAAATAATGTGAGGGGACACAAGGGAGAGGAGGAAAGTCTCTAATTGGTTAAAATATGTTTAAATCACTTCATAAAACCCAAGCAAAGCGAAGCAAATAATCCACCTAGCAAAGCAAAGAAGCTAGGCGATTTAGAACCAGTGTAATTCGCTCCCCCCTCAACCGACTACCCCCCCCCCCAGTTCCTCGCAGTATTTGATATGATGAATAACCCAATATAGGCCTTTAAAAATAGGTCACTGCATAAAGAGACTCCCAGAGAGCTATAAAAAATGGGAAGAGGGCGCTTTAAGGAGAGGAGCCATTTGCTTCTTTTGTGCTTGTTTGGTACCTAGCGGCCTGGGAGCTGCCAGTCGTCCTCCTCCTGGCCCTCAAGGTGAGGAGGGAAAGTTGTGGCCGGATCCGGCCCCGGCCTCTCCTCCCGCTCCACCCCGCCCCTCCAACACACGCCCGCACCCGTCCAGCCCCGGCCCAGGCCGCGGTCGCGTCCGGCCGCGCCCAGCGGGGAGCCGAGGGGTACTCAACGATGCCTGAGGTGGGGGCTAAGCTGCTTCACTGCCAGCTCTGGCTTTGTCATGCCGTCCCTATGGAACGGCGAGGCACAGGCGGGATGGGTGGCCCGGGTGGAAAATACTGAGGAGCGGGTCTGCCCGCTGCCGCGCCGGGGCCGAGTTTCCCCCGGGAGTGGGGGGCACAGCAAGCCCCGCACCGCTGCCCCTCTCCAGAGCCGCCCATGGGCTCGCAGCAAAAGGCCTCGGACTGGAAACCGGCCCTCCCCGGCCCTTTCCCCCCGCGCTGCCCCCGGCCAGGACTACCCGCCATCCCCGGCGCCAACGGAGCCCAAGAAGCCGCCGACGTCCCGGGAACGAACACGGCCCGCGACCCGCCGCGCAAGCCCTCCGCGGGCACTCTCGGCACCGGCACCCTCCCAGAGGGGCCTGCTCCCGCCCCGGACCCCGCAGCCCGCTAAAACACAGGGCACTGGGAAAGAGGAGCACGACAAATTCGGCGGAAACCTTCGGATTTTATTGGAAAGGAAAGGTCTGCCTTACCTGGAACCAGGCTCTCCCCTTCTTCCCCTCATTAAAAAAAAAAAGAAAAAGAAAATTAAAAAAAAATCAAACGGCTCTTCATAGAGCCGGAGAGAGACATTTTAAATAACCTGGTAGCCGAAATTAAAAGGAGGAAGAAATGGAAGAAAAAAAAAAAAATCTCGGGGGGAAGAAAAAAATATATACAGCCGGATATTTTTCGTTTTGGTTTGTTTTCACTATACTGTATTATCCTGATGCAATAAAGGTTGGTTTGTAATGTAATTTAAAAATATATATGTCCAAACAAATAGCAGGGCCAGAATATGACAAGTGCATTCAGCATTATAATTCAACTGGGCTCCACCTCCATACCGCCTCCTAATTAATGGGTCTCCGAACTTGCAAAAGCCTGCATTGGACAGAGAGAGAGAGAGAGAGAGAGGGAGAGAGAGAGAGAGAGAGAGGGCGAAAAGTGTCATTGAAGATAATTGATTACCTCCCAATCAACAATAACTTGTTAGCAATAGTCAATTACCCCATCTCTTCTTGCTTCTTTCCCCCTGGTCCGAGGTCTCGGTGCGAGGGCTGCTCTCCCCCTCGCCGAAGTCTGCTTTTTCTTTTTCTTCTTTTTTTTTTTTTTTGTTTTTTGTATATTACTTTGGGTTGGGTAGTCGCGGGGCTCAGGGGGGCAGGGGAAAGTGCTGTTGCATTGGGGTGTTTCTTAAAAGAGCAGCAAAGGGAAGAGAAAAGAGAGAGGACGAGGTGGGAGAGAGAGAGAGAGAGAGAAATAGAAGAGAGAGAGACAGAGAGAGAAGTGAAGGGAGGACGAGGGGAGGAAACAATCTCCGAACCCAAAACCCTGGTACAAGAGGTACGGCAGGACCACCTCTCGGCGAGGGACCGACGGGCAGCTCTGCTCCTCTCCGCTCCCCCCGCCGCCGGCCCGGCCCGGCCCGGCCCGCCGCCCGGACGTGGCTCTTCCCCGGGGAGGACCCGGGGCTTCCTCGGCCGGAAGTTGGCAGTGGGCCTTCAACTTTTTGCCTTCGCTGTCTTCGCCACCGTCACCCCGCGGTCCGCGGGGAACTTGTCTTGCCGCGGTCAAGCGCATCCCGTCGCGGGTGGGGAAGGCAGCCCCGCCGCCGGGCCCCGCCCCCACCATGACTTCCAAAGAAGAACCCAAGCCCTCCTCGGGGGAAGAACGGCGGCGGAGCCCCTTGGATCACCTCCCACCGCCGGCCAACTCCAACAAGCCCCTCACCCCCTTCAGCATCGAGGACATCCTCAACAAGCCCTCGGTGCGGAGGAGTTACACCCTCTGCGGAACGGCACACCTCCTGTCCGCTGCGGAGAAGCACCCCCCGGCCGGGCTGCCCCTCTCCGGCCGGGCGCTGCTTTCCCAGACCTCGCCCCTCTGCGCCCTGGAAGAGCTGGCCAGCAAGACCTTCAAAGGGCTGGAAGTCAGCGTGCTGCAGGCGGCCGAAGGTAAGACCCCCTTGGAGTGGGGGGATCCTCCAGCGGGTGGGTGCCCCGCTCCTCCCCACGGCCTGGTTTTCCTCCTCACCTCCCCCACCCCCCACAGCTCCCGGGGGTCGCATGGGATGGGATGAGGGGGGTCCCTTGGCGGCCGGTACCCGGCGGCATCCTCGCCCCGCGGCCCTCGGGGTGCAGGAGCGGCTGCTCTGCCCCACTCCCTCCAGATACGACGGCAAGGGGTGTCGGGGGCCGGGGCTCGGTCGGTAGTGGAATTGTAGAAAGCGGTACAGATCTGGCGGCTCGTCGCAGCGCCGGGGAAAACGGGGATGGACGATTTCGGGCCAGCGGCAAACGCCCAAAGAAAGCGTCGGAAGTCGCGGACGGCCTTCACAACCATCAGATTCTACGAGCTGGAGAAGCGGTTTCCTCTACCAAAAATACCTGTCCCGGCGGACCGGGGACCAGATCGCCCAGCTCTGGGGCTACACCAAACCCGCCCAGGTTATCACCTGGTCCAGAACCGCCGCGCCAAGCCTCAAGAGAACCTGGAGGGAGAATGAAAGGCCGGAACGTGGAATCGGGCAAAAAGCTGGGCCCTAACCCGCCGGTGGACATCGTGGCCTTGGCTGAGCTGGGGAGCCCAGCGCCGAAGGGAAGGGCAAGGCGGCGGCCCGGGTCCCCGCCGCCGCCCCCCCGCCGCCGCCCGGGAGCCCGGTGCAACCCGCCACCGCCCCCGCCCCGCCTTTCGCCCCCCCACGGGCGGGCCCCGCAAGCCGCCGGGACAGCGAGAGAAAGGAGGAGGAGGAGGAGGGAGGGAGGACGTGGAGAGCGACGGTGGATGACTGAGGGGCGGCCGGCGGCCCCCCCACACCCCCTAACCCTCCCCCCCCATCCCGACAGCTCCAAACCGGCACCTCGCCCCCATCCCGGCCCCGGCAGCAACGGGCGGTTGCGGCTGCTCCCCTCGGTCGGAGCAATAAGCAATAGAACCCCACCACAGACACACACACATCCCGATTAATTTAGGGTAGAGTCGATATCCCTCCGCCTGCCACATCTTCGGAACGGTGCAATTACGGACGGCTTCTGTATAAATATTTAAACGTATATATTGGATTTTTTTCCTTCCCCATTCTTTTTGAGGTTTTGATTATTATTTTTTTAATAGCTATCAATGATGATTATTTTATCTAAAAGGGAGAGGCATAACCTTGGAATAAACTCGGCTTCCAGCAGATGTTTGGGAAAGCAGTTGTTTTCAAAGACTTCCGAAACGAACCACTTTAGAGAAGATTTAAGTTAGGCTTAAAACGGCAACAGCAAAGAATTAGCCAGTTTCCTTTCCTTGCATGTTTCGAATGTGCACGAACTAATTTTTTTTCTTTTAAAAATATTTTTTCTTCTGCAATCTGGGGAACTTGGGGCTGGGCTATAATGCAAGTTGAAAAATATATACTTTCTTTTTTTTCTAGAGCATAGAGATTTGTCTCCAATGCAATTTCTGCCTCATTTTACCAATTAAAAGCTATTTTTACCATTTTCTGCTATGTTTGTGCTTTTATTAAAAGCTGCCTTTCGTATTTTTGATATGAAGGTGGTAACAAAAAAAAAAAAAGGAAAATGAAAAAAAATCCTAGAATTATTTTTTACTCTTTTTAGAATTTTTGCATGCTATGGAAATAAAAAAGGACAAATCCCAAGATCACTACATTTAAATATTACACTATAAATTAATAAAAATGTACAGATTTAAGACTTGTTTTTGTTTGAATTGTACAAATTTTAAAAGGCCTGCTATTTAAGTTCCGATAGGGACAATGTCGCTTTATTTACTGTCTCTTAGAATTGTACAGATAGCTCTTTTTTCCGATACAATAAAATCTTTACCATTTTAATATACTTTTTGACGTCCTTCTTTGTGACCGAAAAAACACTCCGTCGGTCCGAGGTTACGCCAGACTTTTCTACCACAGAGATCTCCCATCCCGTTTGCATTTAAAGTTACTTTATGCACAGTACCTGCAAGAAAAATGACGGGAAAAGAACACACGAGAGAGACCTTTATTATTATAATTTCTTTTTTTAAGGCTCGTGCCAGGTAGAGCTTAGCAGAGGGAGAACGCGGCAGATCGATAAGGCAATAGGTGCAGGCAGCGCTTCCCGGGCGCGGGGGATGCGCAGCGGCAGCGGGAGAACGGCGGGGCGAGCAGGACCACCGGGCACCCCCCACCCGCCCCGCCGCTCCCGCCGCCAGCACGGCATTTCCAGCCCGAAATTGGAGAGGAAAGGAAGGGGGGGAGGAAAAAATAATAGAAAGAAAAAAAAAATCTGAGCTGGGGGAAGGAGTTATCACCGACTTGGACAAAAGAAGCGGGGGGAGCTGCTGTACACCCAGCGGGCCAGGCCTCCCGCTTCTGGGCAAAAGCTGCCATGGGGACACGAGGATGGAAAAACGTTTCGTTTCCCCATTTTCTTTTCTTTTCTTTTCTTTTCTTTTCTTTTCTTTTCTTTTCTTTTCTTTTCTTTTCTTTTCTTTTCTTTTCTTTTCTTTTCTTTTCTTTTCTTTTCTTTTCTTTTCTTTTCTTTTCTTTTCTTTTCTTTTCTTTTCTTTTCTTTTCTTTTCTTTTCTTTTCTTTTCTTTCTTCTTTCCTTTTTCTTTCCTTTTTTCTTTCCTTTCCTATTCTTTTTTAAAATTTTCTCCCTTGTCTCTTTTTTTATTATTTTTTTCGGCCAAAATTAAGGCTCTGGTGAATGCGTTTTCTCTTGGCAGCGTGACCTGCCTTTGGAGTCGAGCAACGTGTGTTTCTCCCTATTCTTTGCAAAATTTATGTGAGAAAGGCAAATCTGGTGTACAGTGGCAGAGCTCTGCGGAGAAGTGTCCAGATAAGGCAGGGTTGGTTTGTCGGTTGGATTTTTTTTTTTTTTGGTCCAGTTTCTCCGAGGCTAAATAAATCTTTCTCCTCTTTGAGAATGGATGGGGTTGTAATTTTTAGCGTAAAGCATGAAAACTGGGGACAAATGAGCCCTCTTCTCTGAAGTGACAAGCGACAATGGAGCATATACAGCCTCCTGCGGTTCGCCATGCTGAAACAAGCGTGCCCCTCCGCAGCAGAGAGAAGGAGAGCGCTTGGAGACCATATGGTTTTTGAATTTTCTTCACAATTTCCAGACAATTTGATGGATTAGGTTAACCCTCCCTTCCACTGTTTAACTCCACAACAATGGGAGCAGAGCTGTTCTCCCTTCGTCGGGGCATCTGTGCTCTTCTATTCTTCTCTCTTTCTCTCTTGGTATTTGGAACAAGCCTATGAATTACAATGAAATTCACTTTTCTTTAGTATTATTTGGAAGAGCACTTGTTTTCCGCCACCTCCCACCCCCACTCCGACATCCCCTCTTTTTTCTTTTTCTTTTTTTTTTTTTTTTTTTACCTCCGAATGATAGCTTTGACTTCTGTCCAGATCTCTCGAAAAGCCTTCAATCTTGTCCTTAAGTGTTTTTATGCTAAACAGCCAAATCGTAAATGCTGAGAAACTGTGACATTTATGTGAAGATCTAGTTAAAGGGCTTTATTTGTTTTCTTTATCTGTTTTTTTTCCCCATTCCCTCTCCTGTTCCCCCTCCTCTCCTGTCCCCTCCCTCCCCCCAGTCTTTTATTCTTTTGTCTTGGAATGGATTTAATGAGGCTGCAAACACTACAATTCAATATAAGCAAGAAATAAAAAAAAAAAAAAGGGTGGCTGGGTGTATGGAAAATAGACTGGGAGTTAATTTGGGTTTCTGATCTATTGACTTCTGAGCGCAAAGAGAAAAGATGCAGGGCCGCCTTGCACCCGCAGAAGTTTACCACACGTGGCTGGGGCGGGATAGTAAATAAAGCCTCCTCCTGAAGATTTGCAGCCTGTTAATTTGGCTCGCCCCCCATTTCAAAATAGCTGGGATTTTGGTTATTTAATCTGCATATTGACAAACCAA